TATATATATATATATATATATATATATATATATAATAACAAATTTCTTTAATGAAAGGAAGAGATATCATAAATCTTAGTTTACTTTCAAATTTACGATTGTGAAGTTATTATCATTACTATAGTTATTTTATTTTTTTAATCATATTCTTTTAGATGTTTTGAATAAAATAGTACTCACTAGGTGATAGTCCTTTCTCTTTGCTGCACTCCATTATGTTCTTGTTGAACTTTTCCAATCTCTCCCTGTTGAACGCTCCGTAAACAATTGTCTGAAAAAATTTATTTACAGCCAAATATACAAAAATTGTATCGCTTTGACGTAATCACAGTACAGGTACAAGAAGTATACATCGATTCATAATCCAGTCGAATTTTTATATTTCCTCATACAAAAAATCGCAAGTTTAAACTTTAACTTACATTTCCTAATGTAGAAATTGCGTAAATATGTGTAGTTACAAAAAGATCCTTTCGTATGACATTATTGTTTAATTATAAGTATATAATTTTGCTTATTTCGCGAATAGTTTCAAGGAAGGACTTGAGGCTTTTTTCGTCATTTAAGTTTCTTAAAACATCAGTTTGTAAATAAGATCGCGACTTATTGTATCAAGGATAATATAAAATACGGATATTAAAAATCATATTCTTATATCGCGAAATAAATTTACAAACTAGAGATATAAGATATCTGTAAAAAGAAGGATACTTCAAATAACACCTTTAATGTAAATTTAGGAAACTAAGAAATAAGATGTTTGATTTTATAGCATTGTGTTTGCTTTGAGTAGAGTGTAATTAACACTAAGGGCCGGTTTTTCAATGATAGTAATATAAATATAAAGATATAAAGATTTAGATTTCAACTTAAACTCTGTTTAAACAAAACAAACGCATTGTTAGAATAGAGTTTAAACTTGAATCCAAGTTTAAACTACTATTGAAAATCCAGCCCTAAATCTGTCGCGTTGATCTTTGATAGTATATATTTTTGTATGTCATTACGTAAATTATATACAATATAAATGCATATAATGAAATGTAAATTAAACGCTCATTAAGATAATGTACTTTGTAAGGACACGGAGAAGTTTATTTGTACTCGTACTTACCGCGACGGACAATACGACAGACACGATCACTAGAATCTTCATTCTAAATTCTTCGAATATGTTCAAGAAATTATTAAATATTGTGTAACGAGATTGCGCCGAAGACTTCTTTTTGAAGCTGCAGCTGCCGCTGCAGCGTATTTATAGATGAGTGGCAGTCATATTAAAATACTATATAGCTTAGGTGTGATTTATGACAAGGTTATAACATAAGGCTGGTATTGGACGGTCAAGATTAGTGATAAAAACTCGTGTGTTAAAATTCAGGTGAATCATGCAATACATTTTAATGTTGTTCTGTAACGCAATGCATTTTAATGTTATTCTTAGAACGCTACAATTTACATATTAAGTGTTATTGGTTTTATTTCTCTATGTTAATATTTGTCTATGTCAATATCTGTCTATGTCAATATCTGTCTATTTCTATGTTTATTATATTATGTTACATTAAGACGACCGAATCTTACAATTGTAAGGGCCCTTGCAGAATGCCAGGCAACAGGCAATAGGAACAGGCAATAGCCAATAGGAACAAGGAATAGAAATAATTGACCAATCAGAATTTCTATTCTCTGTTCCTATTGCCTGTTGCCTGGCATTCTGCAAGGGCCCTAAGAGTCTACAATTGTAGATTAATGTATACCATATGAGAGAGAATTATCCGTATTGGATTAATAATTATAAGAAAAACCTGAACAATCGTCTCGATTTTCGACTAATATATTAACGTTTACGAAGTAATATATTAGATAAAGTCAAAGTATTTTGTAATATTTCGTAATATAATGTTATATTTCAGGGAGTTATATTTCTTTATTTGTGTGGTGTTATTATATTTTGTTGTGCTAATTTGCATGTTACAATTATGCAGGATAATTTTATGCTTCCTATAATTCGAGAAATTTATATTTCGGTTGATTGCCCTAAGATTTGACTATCAGGATTGCGATTTTACGAATATTATCCTTTTTTTTAATTTTGTTAAGTTCTTTTTCTTATCACAATATATATCCATTAAAATTCAAATCGTATTGTCACCGTGTCAAATCAGATTTGTCGCTTAATCGTCACTGAAGTCGTTGAAATAAGCTTTTCTCATTGACCGGGCTCACAATATTCTATTCCTTTTGAATGTACTTTTATACCAAGAGATGAGTTTCCATCAATATGAATTTTATATTCCTGATTATTACTTTCTCCACTAACTTATAGCCTTGAGTCATGCGCGAATAATAAATCAAATATTTTAGAGAAATAATTTAGAGTAACCGCTTTTTTGTCGGAATTATCATTTTTAAATAAATAATAAAAATAAATTAATCCATAATCTTTGAATACGATGCATTTCAGAGCTAAATAATAGTCAATGAATCAATCGATGAAAACAAAAATTACTTTTTAAATAATAAAGGGAAAGTGGACAAATAATATTTTATTTATTGCCGTCTCTATAATATGATTATATTTGCCCATTGCAACAGTTACTAACTCTTACTTGTGTCAAAAGCATGATCCGAAAAAATTCATATAATGTATTGCGCATACGCATTCACAGCAATTAACGCGATTATTTCCGAAGCATGAGATTGCGCTGATTTCTCGCCTAATAGCAGAAATCCTGTCTGTACGTTTATAAATCGCATCAATTGTGCAACTGACTATCATATAAAAAATCACAGTGTAAATCATTGGTCATTAAATCATTGGTTCTTGTTTAGTAATGAACTGTTTTATTACTCATCATATTCTAGAACGTGACAAATGGAATATTTTATCAAAGATTGGTTATATAATCGCAAAGATTGGAAAACATCAAACATATCAAAGAAGATTGAAAAATTAAGCTATATTTAGATTTATAACACATTTATCTACGAGTAAATTTCAACATTATAAATAGGATAAACATTACATTAGGAAAGCAAATAATATTTTCTTTAGGATAAAACCTTTAAAGTGACCTTTTTAAAAAATTCTAATTTTTAAAAATATCCCTTTAAATTCGGTTTAAGATGATTAGGAAGTAAACACATGCAATATATTTATTTGAATGACTGTTGTCGGTTTTTTTGAACGGGATTTGTTTAACCTTGTCAAATGTCTCTGTTGGTCAATCTCATTTTAAGTCTTCCAATTCTAATTAATTTATTTCAATTTCATTTTACTGAGTTGTCAGCACGAAAATATATTTGAATGAATAGATATCAGACGCGATATTCAACATTAGAATAAAAAAAATAATAAAGACAGTTTCGTATATCGTATAGAGAAAAATCTGCAATTAGCTTTAATTAAGGTTTATCGAGGAGCAACAAAATTAGCAAACTCTGCACATAACAGTTTTCATTATCTGTTCGTTGTAATAATCGTCGCATGTGATTCGGTTGTCTTGCCTAATAATAATTATCTTATAATATCGAATAGATCATTTTATCGTCTAAACAATGTAAATACGCGATATACTTGTGTATAATATTATATAACATTAAAAAACATTTTAATTTAATTAAATTTTATTCTACATTGTTTGATTCATCATCTACATTATCTGATATAGACTATGATATATTTTACATTATATGCTATCTCTGTAAAGTCTGAGCAAAATTAATTTTTAAAAATGTTACACGCAGTCAACGATTAAATTAAATTAAATTATAAGAATACATTACAAGACACACTTTATTTAAATCATATCGCGAGAATGTCATCCAAATATTTGCGTAAAAATAAAGGTGAAATCACTCTTATTTTTTTTTCGTAAAAAATCAATGCGACCTACATCTACACATGCACTACTAAGAAGCTGTACAAAAGAAATTTTACTATCATGAAATTGTTTTTGTGCGTTCGCTCACCGATAAGCGATGAAATCCGTCGATCCTGTTTCCCTCGACGAATTCTTGCATCCTCGCAGGTTTAACCTCGTTCAGCTTTTCTTCGTACCCTTTCGTAGCACTTTCATTTAAAGAAAACTCGCGCGACGCGTATACTGAAATCGCGAACCAAAGACCGCGTTTTCAAAAAGACGCGAGAGATATAGAAGTTTTTCCATTTCGTGAACAAAAAACTGAGTTCTCATTGCACGAGAACTTAAATTTTTAAATGAACTATAAGCACATATGTATCTCAAATTTAACAGTAATTTGATCGAATTTCTCGTAAAGGCATATAATACCATTTTATAACACCGAAATATATTCACAACACAAATCTAACGATATCGTAAACGAGCTAAATAATTGATGAGTAGCGTAAAATTATCACGCAATATATGCGTGAAGTCTGCTCCGCAAGTTCATGCGAAAACAACTCCGCAATACTGCGAAGTCCTCTAACGAAGTCCTCTAACGAAATATACGCACGTATTTAACAACGTTCGCATTATTCCTAAGAACGTAATAATAATCGCAAATCAAAATAGGGTCGATGCTCTATTTGTGGCCACTTTAAGGAGTTTCGACGAAATAAACGCGTTTTAATTAAATTTCCTTCGTTATCTAATGTCTTTAATTATTTTAATATATTATTAAGAATCTTTAAATAATAAATTTAAGATAAATTTAAGAATAATAAATTTAAGCAAAATAAATTAAACATATTTTAAAAAATAATACTTATGTCATAATTTCTGATTTCACCGTTTTTGGCCACCAGTTCTTGTCATAATAAATATCTGTTCTGGCCACATAATAAAATTGAGATTAATTTATAATGAAACAATTAATAAAAAAGTATATGTAATAAAAATTGTTAGAGCGTTTGAATGACTTGCGGCGAATGCGGTGTCGCAGCTACTGATATGTACGGTTGTGGATTGACTACGGCTGATGGCAGCACTATCGGCTAGAGCGTGAATAGTGCGCTAGTGTGTCATCTTCGTCGTGTCGTGTGTGAAGGATGGGACGGTTGAGTCTGACGAAAAAGTTAGTTGATCTAGACCTTGAGTAAGAGTAATGCTAGAGTGTTAAGAAAAGAGTCAAATGTTTATGTGAGCATGTTTGTAATATACAAGTTATTACAAAAGTAACGAATATTGCATATTCAATACAACGGTCCTTCGAACCAGCGTGGATACGAGAAAGAGGATCTCATGAGGAAATTCTCAAGCATATCCAAACAATCAAACAAAAATCTTGGTTTAATGTTAATATCTTAATATCTTAATGTTAATATTTATTTTAAATTATATATATATATATATATATATATATATATATATATATATATATTAATATAGAATATATATATTAATTATAAAAATATATATAGAATATGAGATTCACAAATATATTTATATTTTTTTTAATCAAAAGTAGACTAATTTTTATTTTTGATATTTGGGTATGTGAGTCTACATAAACTTACCTTCATGATAATTTTGTTATGTCCAAATTATATCCTTTGTGTGCTATTTCATAGAACGTCCAGTTACGTCTATCAGTTCTGCAAACTCTTTCAATTCTGTAACGTCTGCCAGATCTGAAACAAAAAATTGCTTTTGTAATTAGTTATAGAACATAAAATTAATGTATATATATATATAATTTTTTTTTTTCTTTTTTTTTTAATTAGTAAAAATAGTGTCTGATAGTCATGTTTGAAAAGACCACTGTACTGCGAAAATACCGAGGACCATAATCGCTAACGCGAAATATTAAAATTAATTTTATAAAGATTTTAATTGTTTTTAGAGAGAATGAAAACATCGAGTGGCGTCAACACATGACGTTTACCTTTATATTTATAATTGTTACGATACGCATAAGCACGCTTTCTAATATCTAAAGAGGATTTATCTTATCCCAAATATCTTTTATCTCCTAAAGATATCTTATAGAATAACTTCATGATTATAATTTAAATATTTCTGCTGTGTGGATTTATGCTGTTGTTCCGAAGACTTATGACTTACACATGACTAATGGCAAATCGTTATATTAATATCACACATTTATCATCCTACATTATATTATCAATATTATACCTTACTTTAAAAAATTCAATTGCTAACTAGTTTCGACAGCATTTATCGAATTTCCGTATGTCGTAGAGATATACTAATTATTAAGTTCTATAATATTTACTCTATAAACTATTTTAATATAAACTCTAGGAAATACACAATTTTCTATTTATATATCAATTAAATATTCAAAAAACACATTTCTATAATTAGTTATAAAACAGATAAATATTCATAATATGAAATTAGATAGTCTATAAATATATAACTTTTTTAAGTTTAAAAATTATACGTAATATTTACCGTAGAAATTAAATTTTGTCCTACTACCCGTGATAAAACCAATAATATAACTACACAAATTAATTATCGTATTAATCTTATGACTAATTTGATCAGTATTAAAAATGTTGGAAACAGTACATTAATATTACGCATTAACGTACTGTTGTACTCACTACTGCATCTGCAATAAAGAAAAATATATGAAAATTTATTTATGAGATATAAAGTTTATTCCTACAAAATAAAGTCAATTTCTGCAAAGTAAAAGTTTATTTCTACGAAGCAAAATAATCTGTCAAATAAAATAATCATTTTACATCACACTATATGTCGCGTACTTTAGCATATCTTTTACTGTCCACTAAGTCGCATAATCCACCGGCAAGCCGTGCTAAGATATAACGAATTTGTGTAAACTTACGGTTAAGATGTGTTTGCTCTGGCTGAATGAGGTGCTTTAATGTGACATCGCGTCCTTTTGCCTGACCTGAAACAAAGCGATAATTGTTCAAAAATTCCAAAAATAAAGAATGCGCTCAGAGAGGGTCGGCTACATATTCGTTTAAAATTTGTAACAAAAGTGCGCAACGCACTCACCTTACGGATCTCGCGGTACTTCGATTGTTCCGGGCCTTAGGATCAATATCGCAGCACGAATTTCGCAAGGTATCACTTGGAAGAAACTTGGACAGATCTGGCGAAGTCGAAAAAGGTATAGAACATCGCTTGAGTTACATTGCTACTCGCAAAATGTACCGCCACAGCTTCGTGTTCGAATGGGCGCAGCGTCTAGCTGGCCGCCTAGCGCCATCTAACAGCATCGTGCAGAAAGAGTGTCAACATTATCCATTTAGACCCGTTATTTTTAAAATCGATATATTTAGACCCAATATTTGTTTCAATTATAAAATCTGAACTGACAATATTTTCTTATTTTTGAGTGTTCTTTTTGCGACTGAATGGCAACGAATTTGAAAATATTCAAAAGATTATTGATTCTTCGGCAATATTTTAATAGAAAAATAATCGAAAATCGACACACCGATGTCGCTAGACTATATCACAATTTGCAAAGTGTCGTTAATTGAGAGAGAGAGATTTAATAATTAAAGTTTCTCTGCCATGCGTATTAGAAAACTTTATAAAACTGTCTAGTTTTCATAAAAATAAACTATATTAATCATTCTTGATATTTCAAGAATGATCAGATGTGTCACTGTTCATTATAATATTAGAATGATAATAGTCATTATGACATCAAAAATAATCTGACAAACAGCGAATACAAAAGTATCTGAATTTGGAGCTGGGTAAGTGTGATAAATATGCCGGGTTCGCGCACAAGTCTCATACAATTATTGATCGTCAAGTTCTAGTCGCGTGCTATTTACCATTTATTATTTCTATCGGCTATTTCTGATATTCTCGTAAAAGGTTGGACGAAAAGATGTAACAAATTTGTATGAACTTACAGTCGAAATCAACTTCCTCTGGGTAAATCAGTTACTTTGATCCAACATCGCGTTTTTTGTTCCGTCTAAAACAAAAAAAAAACGATCGTTAAAAAGTTCACAAAATAGATAACTCACTCAAAAAGAGTCGGTTACATACTAGCTTAAAATTTGTGACAAATAAAATGCGCGTTGTTCAACTCTTGGATCGCATTATACTCCGATAGTTCACGATGATCTCAGGATCAAGACGACGATTTCGTAAAACGTACAATTTCGCTGCAGAAACTTTGGTAGGCCTGAGGAAGTCCATATAGGAAAGACATCAAACATTGCTTGAGATACGTTGTTATTTGCATAATGGACTGCTATAGCTTCGTGTTCAACAGGCACATCATCTGGCAGGCTGACTGGCGCCATCTAACAGCATCATGTGGAAAGAGTATCGGCTATAACTTTAGACTCGCTATTTTTAAACTCGATATATTTAGACCCGATATCTCTTTGCAATCATAAAATCTGAATTGATAACAACACTTTTATTTCTCACAACTGAATAGCAACGAGTATTGAGAATATTTAAAAATTATTGATTTTTCGGCAATCCTTCAATAATCTTTTAACAGAAAATTAAAAATCGACACACCGATGTCGCCCGTTTTTATTGCAAATCGCAAAGTGCCGTCTACTGAGATTTAATAATTAAAATGCCTCTGTGTTTAAAAGTTTTTATGAGATCGTTTAACTTTTATAAAATTAAACTATATCAATTATTTATAACATCTCAAAATCTACCACAGTTCGTAATAATACTAGAACGAGCATTGCCATCAAAATTAATCAAAATTAAATTGTTAAACAGAGAAAACTTATGCAGGGTCTACAATAGAAATCGTAGAGTCGTAGGTCGTAGAAATTGACCAATCGCGGTCGATTATTCTTCTCATACTTGATTGCGATTGGTAAATTTCTACGACTTACGACTCTACGACTTCTATTGTAGACCCCGCTTTACAGAAGCATCTAAATTTCGACCTAGGTAAGTAGAATAAATTTGACATGATGAATCAATCAAGATTAAAATCTTGTCTAAATACTTATTTTAGCCTCATCATATCTATTATATTTCTTATTGTTATTGTTTCCAAAGTCTAGGCTACAAATGCCACTGTCCTTCATAAGAACCCTTACGAAAAAAAAAACGAAAAAAACCTCAATTTTGGGTGTAAACACAAAAAGCTAGGAATAAACACAAATTTGAGTGTAACATCCAAAATTGAGGGTTTTTTCGTATTGTTTTCGTAAGGAAAATCACGCAACACACATTTAAACTAAAAGAAGACTCATGATTGATTCCCAGGATGTGTTATACTATCTGAGTGTTAAATATAAATTTATATTAAAAATAAATATATGTCATAATGAGCAGTTTGTACAATTTAAGCCAACGATCAGTGGTGTAGCCAGAAAAAAGTTTCGGGGGAAGGCTGTACTTTTTATTTTTAACGAGCAAAAAAAGGTCATTCAAAAAAATTTTTCTCACACTTAGCGTAACTCAGAAAAATTAATTTCGGGGAAAATTGCAGCCCTCTCAGCCACCCCTGGCTGCGCCCCTATCGGTGATACACGATGCTTCTTTTCGTGCTGGTTTGTTTGCTGGATGGAAATATTCTGTTCTGATTGGTTGTATTCCTGAAGATGGAAAGAAATGCACCAATCAAAACAGAGTATTTCCATCCAGCAAGCAATTCAACACGAAAACAAGCGCTGCTGGCTTTGGGTGCTTTCCAGCTACATTATACTGTGTCACGCAAAACTAGTTTATTGGTCACATATTATCTAAAATATCTTCTAAGATAATATGCAACCAATAAACTGGTTTTGTGTAACACAGTGTATGTAACTGGAAAGCACCTTTTATATCCCAGACAGCACAAGATTTTCAAGAGATATCCTAGGGACATATAGAAACATTCAGAGATCTTCAGAATATTTTTGGGACGTCTTTGAAAGATTGTGCTGTGTGGGATATTCGTGCAATATCGAAAAAGACACTTTAATAAGACATGATATTAAGAACAGAGATGATTCTTTCTCGTTTTTTCTGTCTTACAACTCCAGGCGAGCTGTGTTATTGGCTGCATTTATCGGAAAAAGCAGCTCAGTGAACGCTTAGTGATTATTGTCTATGATTGGAGCATTTTTTTAGATTCTTCACAGACCCAGGAGTATTTACCAATCAGGAGCGATAATCATTAAGCACTGCCTGAGCTGCTCCTTCCGCTGAATATAGCTATTAATAAAACCCGATTGCTTGTTCGTTCACGTTGCTTGCACTTTTGACACTTTATATCTAATTACAACCTCTCTTTAGAAAGAAGAATTTTTATTGGGTTCACTTATCACGCTAATATGTAAAGGCTGGTTTATGATGACCGTAATCCATTAACTTATGCCGGAACCATAAAAAATTGACTAATCATAGTCGAATTATAGAAGAAAAATCGACTGTGTTTGATCAATTTTTTACGGTTCCGGCATAAGTTAACGGATTACAGCGATCATAAACCAGCCTTAACGGGAATTAGGTGCAAAAGTGTCAAAAGTGTAAGCAATGCGAACAAACCTATAGTCGTGATTTTTTCCTCACGATTTCGTTAGATGGCGCCAGGCATCTCATAGGCCGTGCCTGTTTAAACACAAAGCTATAGTAGTCCATTTTGCAAGTAACAACTTATGTCCAACGATGTTTTGCGCCAGTTCCCACTTCGTCAGATTTATCCAAGCTTCTACAGCGATAATTTATGGAATCGACGTTGTGATCTTACTCTCGAGATCATCGTGAGCAAACGGGATATCATGAGATCCAAAGGGTGAACAACGTGCACTTTTATTTCTCGCAAATTTCAAACGAATATATAACCGACACTCTCCGAGTGAATTGTCCATTTTGAAATTTTTTAACGATAATTACTTTTTGTTCTTTTCGGGCAAAAGGACACGATCGATGTTGGATCGAAGCGCCTGTCAACCAGAGTTTGTCTCAATTGTAAGTTTATACAAATATGTTACATCTCTTTGTACAATCTTTTACAAGAATATCGGGAATAGACGACAGAAATAATAAATGGGAAAAAATAGCATGACTAGAACCTGACAGTCAGTAATTGTATGAAATTTATGCACGCAAACCCGACAAACTTATTCTCTACTTATCTGGGATGAAACTTTAAAGCTTTTGTAAATATTCTACTTGTCAGATTATTTCTAATATGTTATAATGGCTATTATCGTTCTAGCAGTATAACAGACAGATCCTAAGATATCAAGAATGATTAAAACAGTTTATTTTTACAAAAGCTAGATAATCTTGTAAAGTATTCAGATAGCTTGCTGGATGTAAAGTAATAAGCATGATAGAGAAACATTAACAATTAAATTTTTTTCTCAGTTTTGCGAATTCTAATGATACAGTCTAGTGATATTGGTGTGCCGATTTTCGATTATTTTTCTATTAAAATATTAAAGAATTGCTGAAAAATCAATAATCTTTTGAATATTTTCAAATTCGGTGCTATTCGGCTCTAAGAAAGGCACTCGCGAATTGAAAAATATGATATTAATTAATATTTTATATTTCAGGAAAATATCAGGTCTAAATATATCGAGTTTAAAAATAGCGGGTCTACAGTTATAGCTGACACTCTTTCCGCATGATGCTGCTAGATGGCGCCAGCCAGCCTGCCTAATATCGTTTGAATACAAAGTTATAGCAGTCCATTTTGCAGGTATCAACGTATTTCAAGCAACATTTGGCACCATTTCCGATTTCGTCAAGTCCATCCAAACTTCTGCAGCAATAATTTATGGAAATAACGCTACGATTTTGATCCTGAGATCATTGTGAGCAATTGAAGTATCGTGAAATCTGAAAGGTGAGCGACGCACGCTTTTATTTCTCGCAAATTTGAAACGAATATATAAGCAACTCTCTCCGAGCGAGTTCTTCATTTTTTGAATTTTTTAACGATTATTGTTTTGTGTTTCAGATCGAACAGAAGGATGTTGCATCGAAGCACTCGATTCAACTAGAACAGGTTTGTCTCGATAGTAAGTTTTTATAAATTCTTTGTATCTCGTCGTTTAATCTTAACATAATTAATCTTTTATGAGAATATCGGAAACAGTCGACAAAAATAATAAATAGCAAATAGCGCGGATAATTGAGAACTTGATAATCCGTAAATGTATGATATACACGACGAAATGTGTAAAATATAACAAGCAGCTTTCGTTAATAATCTTAATAGTACACGATCTGTTAATCTTGATATTATTTTACGTTATAATATTGATTTTGTATTTTGTATTAAAATATTTATAATTATATATAATTTAATCTTACAGTTCTAATGTATACGACGAGAATGCGCACGACGTGTGTATTCGATACATGTATTTAACATTTTATAATATATATATATATATATATATATATATATATATATATATATTTGGTCAGTATACTATATAGAATATTATGGACATTATTATAGTTGAATAAGCATTAAATATTATCGCGATATAAATGCGTGTCTGAAACCGGTAGGTCGCGTAACCTTGAGCGCAGTAATAGGACGCGTTGAGGCGCGCGGCGTACGCTGCGTTATATCAATCTTAGACGCAGTAGTGAGCACAGCGTTATTTTGA